GAAAGCTAAATAATTGAAACATCTAGCAAAAAGATCCCAACACCAGCAAAACCATCTGCCTGAGCTTCAAATCTTCTCTATAATTCTAGTAATATATATTCATAAAATAATCACGTGAAATAAATGTATCATAGCTTAGTGATTTTCATTATTACCTTCCAGATTATTTTCAATTTAAGTGTGGTGTGCCTTTGAATTCATTTCTCTGAAGAAGTAGAGTAGGAAGAAAATTAAAGTGTATTGATTATGCTTAGGATCTGTAAATTATTATACATTCTATTTAAGTTTTATTGAGTTATGGATAAAGAAAACCGGCCACTATATGATAAGCAGCTAAATTTTAAATATATTTTCAGCAGATCTCTTAGTGTATTATAGTGTAAAATAGGGAAACCGTTTCAGATTAATGTGTCGTTTATAAAACTGTATGAACTTATATGGGAAAATCTGTAGTTTTTTTAATTTTAAAAGACATGCAGACTATTTTTGGATAGGGTGTATAAATATCAAGCAGTTGAAGAAGTTTACAAGAATCCCCGAACATTCGTGCCTAGTAGGTGTCGATGCACTGTCGAGAGGATTGATGCTCTCTAGCTGAATCGAAACCGAGTCGACCATTTTCATAGCATAAAATATTACTGCCGATCTATTTAGGCAGTAACCGATCTCTCATAGGACTGAGATGTCTACAGTTTACTAAACAACTACAGATATACCTTGCTGGCGAGTGTCAACTAGCATGAAACTTTATTCCGATGTTTCCTGTTCACTATCTCCAACTGCGTAACATATCAAAATTATTCACGAGACGTTGAGTGATTTCAACTAGTGGCCAAACTGCAATTTAATCAACGGAAGTATATTAGGACTAGAGGAAATGACAGAGATGACAGTTTTTACTGCTCAGTGAACAGTCAATTTTTTATTTCGTAAACTATTATATCACCCACTTTTAGAACATTCAACTGTTTGTCTCAGTTTACCAATGATATCTGATATCTTTCAATCTATTATCACATTAGAAATCGATACTAAAATAAAAGTCATGGAAATTGAGCAAACACTATATAGATATATGAAAATATATCGAAACTACATCTCAAGTACTAGTAGGCTGCAAAAATAATACAGAACCAAATCAAGGGTATAAAGACAGCAGGATGACCCTTCATTTAGCAATACATAAGATGCATTTATATCCAATTTTACTTATCATTGACAAAACAAATTTACTCAAATAAAAGTTAGAATTTTCATGTCAACTGAAGTCTGATGTGACTCTCGATAACTTCATCCTGTCATCGAAAGCTTCCAATTTCGGTAAGTTTTACACAAAATAAGTTTATATATAAGTGACTGAATCATCAGGCTGACAGCATGACATGGCATATGTGAGAAAATATATGTATCATGTAAGCACTGAAGTAAATACAAGTATACACCATGAGCTTACAAACTAGTAGGTAATATATGAAAACACTCAGTGGCTGAAGGACGCTCTGAGGGGAGCGATATATATATATATATATATATATATATATATATATATATATATATATATATATAACTTATATTGTTATACTAAATTGAAAATAAGAGTTTAACTTATTATTTATGTTTATATTGTGCATAAATGCGTTTATCATTAAAACATATTTCAAATTTAAACAAAAAAAGATAGTTAATTTATTAGATGAAAATAAAATTAAATCGACAAACGTTTAAATATAACAAACAAACAAACAAACAAGTAATAACATTAATCATATGCAATTTCAGAGTAACGCTGACATTGAAAATTGATCAGATTAAAATTATTTTTTTACATAATTAATATAGTATCTGATTATTAGAAATTAGTTCCTAATTTGTTTGTTCTCCATTTCACTGTAAATTAAATAAATCAATGTATAATGGATGATGTTTTATTTTCTTTAAAGGAAACAATTAGTTGAATTTTTTTTAATGCTCTAGAAAATTTCATTTAAAAAAAAGAAAATAAGTAAGCACATTTATCATTAAATCAACAGACCTAAGTTTGTTTTCTCTAAATTTTACCAATTAAAAAATCATTATAAATAATATTAGATTGTGTATAAAATAGTAATGATAATATCATTAACTATGAAACTTAGATGAATTCCTACTACAAACATCGATTTCCTCGAAGATTAGAAATACTAAGAGCTGACTAGTGAAAACTTGCATGTTACTTAAATCGAGAGTTTTCTTAATTGCTCACAAATGTGTGCGATACATTTAAAATAGGGTTTTAGCTGTGAACAGCTGTTGTTTTTTTTACTAATGAACACATAACTACGTGATACTTTTCAGTCATATGAGAATAAAGTTGATTGAAAATCATTCGTCTAAAATTCAAATATACTGATAGCTTAACAAGTGGAAACAAGTGTCAGAGACGCAAAACATTGAATGAATGTAAAACTATAAACTTGGCGGATGGAATAGCGAACAAAATGATATGACTATATATACAAATTTAAGATTAGAAGTCGAGTAAAAATGTTTAATTATATGATGATCACTTATCTGAAATGTCCTAGTCATACCAACACTTTGTTACGTAATCAATGTATGCCATATTTTCTGATTACTTATTAAACTTCTATCTTGGGAGTAAAATTTATGATCGAACAACAGATTGTTAACACTACATTCTTTGATTTTGATTTGTGTTAAATAACACATATTCTTAAAATACTAGTATTGTGTACTAATTACGGTTACAAGAATTTATATTAAAAACGTTATATGAAGTTGACTAGTCATTTTGTTACACTGCTAACGTCTTTCGTAGACTATGAGATCCTTGAGTGAGCGTCTCTTTATATATTGATTTTAGCCGCAAATTCACTCGATTTCTCGTGTTTTTATTTTAAAAGTTAGTCAGTTGTTTGTCATTCTGAATAAAATGATATCTACGTCTTGGATATGGTTGATAGCCAATGACCAAATTATTACTTACTTACTTACACCTGTTACTCCCAATAGAGCATGGGCCACCGACCATCATTCTCCAACCCACACTATCCTAGGCCTTCTTTTCTAGTTTTTACATCTTTCAAATCTCCGTCAAGTGTGATTCGATTAGTGCATGCTGTGTTGTATCGGAGAATTTTGCTTCTCCCTTGTGTATGTTGAGACCTACTGCTGCTGAGGCTGCTGCTACACTAGTCATCTTCTCCTGCATTTGTTGTTGCGTTTGCGATAGGACGACCAGATCATCTGCAAAGTCTAAATCGTATTGAACACTACTCAAATATCTCGAATATCTGAGTAGACTGATCCGATTTTAGTCCTGAATATTAGCAACAGTGTCTTGAACAAACGTCTTACACTTATATGAATCAAATTCCATTTTAAATCAGTGTCTCGTAGTAAATTCAAATTTGTTACCGAAGTACTGCTAACCATTATCTGTAATCACGAGAAAAAAATCTATGTCTTACGAAAATTTTATGGTTTTTCCGTTTTGGCCGAAAATATTGAATATTTATCTATTTAGTATCCCAACAATAGTTTCCACTAAAACTACTATCTTTAATTACATCACCACAGGTGTTCGGTAATCATTTTCTAAGCTTATATGATTGATATTATTTGAATTATTATCTTGTCTTATTCATGATTAAAGTCTGATTTAGATATTTAGAAAAAATCAAAAACGTTTACTTTTTGTTAGACGTATAATTACAGTTGATTTCATTTAAATCAAGATACAATGATTAACATTTAATGTTATATAATAATTACTAAGTTGGATTAGTTGAAATATTTGGAATAATTTGAGATAACCTAGCATTAATAACTATAAGCATCTTATGGAATGGATAAAATCAGCTAGCAATTAACACTATGTTTCGTTCTAGTTTGATTGAAGTAAGCATTATGTTATAAAGTACATACTGAAATTGATTAATAATGAAGTTACTGAAAACAGCTGTTCATTGAAGCATTCCTTGTTTCTGAAAATCTCTATTTTCGATTGCATTCAGCCTATTTATTCACAATTTTTGAAATTTCAAAATAAATAGTACTGAAATACTGACTAGCAATCAGTTTCAAAATCTGTTAAGTCGATGGAATGATGCTCTAGTTTTGTTTTTCTATCAATCGTGAACTTTACATTCATACAAAATGGTCTGTTGACAATTTCATAATAATAATAAGGATGTTTTTTATTCAGTATACACCAACTAAGCACATAACTTCTTACTGTAACGGTATTTGTCAAAGAGTAGCTGCTCTCCAAAGAGATGTTAGCAAGCTGATGATATTCATTGCGGTTTAAATACATTTGCAGGTAAGTATCTGAACAAATTTGAGTTGTACCACAATAACTACATGGAATCCAATTTAGTATGCTGCAAAAATGTGGCAGTGACTTATTTTTTCAACGAATGGTCCTCGAGGCTTTTCATATCTCGACCAAACGACTTAAATAAATACTGAAGGAAAAAAGATCGTAACCTAAACCTTTCAATGAAGCAAGGTTGGAGCTTGTTTAACGAGAGTCTTGTTGAGGAGTTACACACATAAATGTCTTTGAGCGCGTTCAGCGTTTTCAGCTTCGAAAATTAATAGAACGTTTTCATGGGAAGATATCAGTAAAATATTTTTTGAAAATGATTTAGTTGCTTCACAGAAATTCAAGGTTTTCAAAAGGGAGTTTTCTTTTGCATTTCATTCACAAAAGTACCTTAGTTTCAATTAATAACTGATCACTTACTCACTTAGTTATCTAATACCATCAAGTTTTTTAAAGTCTCATCTTTTCAACAGTTTGCAGAAAATTCGTGTTCAAATTTAACTTCAACTCAAACACAACATTGCTTGTCAGTCAAAGTAGTTTTCGTATTTTATTAACATTTTAATTTCCTCTGTAAAAAACCTTTAGTATTAACAAATTTTATTACTTTGTTTCTATTTGAACTCCCTAACTATAATTGATTTCAATCGTTTATTTGTTTATCTTACAGATATAACATCACAACCGTATTTGATTCGGTTCCAACTGGCAATCTAGCACCAGATAGTAAGTAAAAGTGATTTTCTGTATTATTTTATAACTTCATAGCAAATAGAGCGACAAAAATGTCTTATCCGGCGTTAAAATTGATTAAAAAAGGATTATCTTATAGGGATGAACCAAAAAACAACTGTTACACATTTTAACAAATTGCCAGTCAGTCAAGAAACAGCTCTAGTAAATCAGCTGTTTTTTTTATAAAATGGACAGTAACACTATAAAAGATAGACAGACTTTGCATAAATAATCAATCCACTAGAACTTCTAACAGGTTGTTTTATCTTTAATTAAGAAAAACATAGATATATAAGTTGATTTATACAAATATAGACTATCTGTCTTCTGAAACATTTAAAAGGATGCAGATGGATTTCTACGAGTTCACACATTGTTACGACTACAGATTTAAGATTGTGTTAAGAATTAAGTATTTAGGGCCATTATTTAATAAAAGGGTTAGTTTGCATGTTTTATGCAATTTGTTCAGGATGAATTGACCATATGATGAATATAATGTTATCGATTGTATTCTATGATAGTAAAAATTAATTCTGTCATCATTTTACAAATTCTGACAAGCAAACAAAAGTATATCAACTAGTTGTTTGATGTAATATTAGATAAAAGTCATTTATCTCAGACTTTATAGGGAAAACGAGCAAATCATCTCGATTTTGACTGGTTCATCTTGATACTATAATTCTATCAAAGAAAAAAAAGAAAAAAAAGTATAATTAAAATGATTTAATTAAGATGTGCTATCTAGATTTAAGTAGTATTGAAAAACAAAACAAAAAAATAATAATCATAAGAAATATTACTTTATATAGTGAATAATAAATCAATGTATATCAGCGTATATTCTTAAATCATTTAAAATATCGATTTATTTATAGGCATTTTTAATCAATTACTTCAATTTGATTGGTTGATTTTTTATTGGATATTATAATATGAACATAATATAATCGTAATCACTATTACTTCTTTAAAAGTACAATTTTAAAACAGTAAAACAATATGATTAGGGTGAATATATTTTCTAAAAAAATAAATAAATAAAATACAAAGTTCATGGGAAAAGAATCAATGATATTCTGTTTTAGAAAAAGAAAAAGGAAAAAAGAAGACATTATTTTATTATGATTTATATCTACGAAATATCCATTTAGAACTTTCAATATAAATATTATTATTATTATTTGTATTTACATGAATTCATAAGTCATTCAAGGAGATATATGTAAACAACTAAAGTTTATCATAAAAAGGATTATTAATTATTGTTTGATTAAAATAAATATTAGTTATTTGCATAACTGATTAGGCGATTAAATGTATTAATATAGATTCCTTTCTTTTTTCTTTTACAAAAAATGAGGCGAAATAAAATGAACTAGCGAAAAAAATAACAAAGAGGAAAGGAAAAAACGATAATTTTGCTCCCTAGCTATCTATAACATGTTTACTGTATATATACGTATATGAGCGAACAAATTTAAGTTCATTTATTTGTATTTCACATTGATTTTCAACTAGGAAACTGTTTGCTGAATAAATAAAAAGAGAATATAATAATAAACAATATCGAAAGCACGAAAAAATAATGAATTTTTGAATTTTTGTTTTTTTTAAAAAAAATTAAGAATGTTAGTAATCAAATCAAGTCACGCAAACACATTGAGTTATTTCTGTGACTTTTAATACAAAAACAAAGAGTAGAATAAAAATGTTTAAAATTATTTCATTCATTAATTATCATACATGTTTATTTTTAAAAATAAAATCAGATAAGTTAAAATTGAATGAATAAAAGCGTATTATTTAAATTGCATAAATTTGTGTTCGCCTTAATGATCTGTAAAGTGATTTTACTAAAAAAAAGCCGGAATGTTTTTTTTTGCATAACTAAAAAAATTATCAGAATGGGTTTTGTGAAGAGTTTTAGAAATATCACAGGTTGAAATCATGAGTCGATTGAAGCTAGACCACCATGGAAAACCTGGAAGCACTGGACGTTGCCAGTGGAGTTCAATCAGGTCTGTTGTGAGATAGTAACTCACTGAAAACAATGGTGTACGGTGGCGCAACCTCGTGGATTGGTTGAAGTTAGACATTAACACCGTCGGATGGCGGCTCAGTGGTCTAGTGGTTAAGTGCTCGCGCGCGAAGCCAATAGGTCCTGGGTTCGAAACCCGCGTGGTGCGGGATCGTGGATGCGCACTGCTGAGGAGTCCCATACTAGGACGAAACGGCCGTCCAGTGCTTCCAGGTTTTCCATGGTGGTCTAGCTTCAATTGGCTCATGATTTCAACCTGTGAAATTTTTAAAAAAAATTAGTTTCTATGGTTAAATATGAAAAAATCAATAGTGAGCACCCTCAAATGTATCAGAGACCAGATTCAAAATCTCTACATTCTGGTTCATATTATGAACCTGAAACGATTTGAGACATTATGTGATTATCGTTTATTAATATCGACGGTGCAAGTGTTAAATACGGTATGACTAAACTTCTTTAGTCATAAGATCTCATTAAAAATTCATCAGAATTTGATTTCTTAACTTTTATGTGATTCTCTTCAAAACATGTCGTTTCTAATTTATATTGACAAAGAATGATGAGGTAAAGAAAAAAGGGATCACTCAGTTAGAACAGGACTAGTTAGAAGTAATGATATACATTGCTTTCTTTCCATTTACTGCACGTTGCTATGAAGAAAGTTTTAAATACATTTTCGGGCTCTTATTTAGTGTTATTGAAATAAACTGATCTAAGTCAGACAAACATTGAAAATCTAAAAACACTTTACGTGTTATGTCTTATGGTCCGTTGAATATCATGTGACAAAATCGTCAATAAGATTATCACTTTCTATAACCTTGTCTTCGTGCTTCACCAATCACACGTCAACTAGCACCAGAAGCCTTGACTTTGAGTCCGTAGTGATCCTGAAAATAGTAATTTTTGCGTAGCTCAACCTGCCCAGTTCAGAAAATAAATATCAGCCTCCGTTGTGTAAATCATACATTTCAGACATACGTGGTTCATATACAAGTAGACCAGACCGCATCACACAATAAAATTAAAAATACTGATTATACATGGTTGAGCCAAAAGTGGCTGTGAGTACAAGAGACTGTAATTAACAGATTGAAAATACATTGAGAATAGTGTATCATATAATAGTAGTCCATAGGTCAAGTGATAGCCCATGATAATAAAAATATGAAGATATATGTAATCTAGTTACTTAATTATTATCCAATGAGAATATATGTAATGATAGTCACCATTCATTCGCCCTTCATTCAGATACAACAGGATGGCCATAGGTTGGTTGAAGTTAGTCATTAAACCATTAGATAGCGACTCAGTGGTCTAGATTTTAAGCGCTTCCGCCAAACCGAAGTTCCTGGCCTCGAGTCTCGTGTGCGGAATCGCAGATGCGCGCTGCTGGAGAGCTTAATACTAAGACAAAGAGGCAGTCCAATGCTTTTATGTTTTTAATGGTTTTTTTACTTTGGTTCGGCATTTCAATAAAATTTAACAATATCCACTACTCATACAGATTGTTATTATCATTATTATCATCAATAATGTGATTGGTGTAAGAGCGTCTTTTTAATAACTACCATCAATTTAATGGCTTCTTCAATCCTAATTATAACAGTTAACATATTTTTTCTGTACATCATGGTCTCTATCTTCCGCAACTATTTCTTTGATCTATAAATTGGAGTTTTATGCATGTGAAAAGTAACTAAATTTATGATTCATTAATAAATCAAACGACTTTTTACTAGTTACACAAGGAATTAAATTTACAAAATGTATCATTTGTTTATTTAGATCAGTGTGTATGCAGAAGATTTAAGGCAGACGAAATAAAAAGATAAATTCATCTAAATTGTGTTTGTCTGTTGTTCTTGCTTTGCATAAAGGAAGTTATATTACTCTAAACTGACTTTCATAGTTTGGTGTTTTACAAATTCAGTGAATCCATGACATTTGTCGTTCCTTTACACGCTATTAAAATGTTACTTAATTCAAAGAAAATTCCCAACAATAGTAAATTGCTTCTATACTATACACTGATAATAAGCGGTAGAAATATATTCACAATATATACCTCCTTCGGTTTGGACTCCCGGGCAATATTCCAGCCCTCACGTATATTGAATGACTCGTGTGGCGCATATATATTTGAAGCCTTCTTGTACAAATATGTATGTTGATGTTAGACAGTAACATCATTGGATGTCGGCTCAGTGGTCAAGTAGGTTATGCGTTCGCGCGTGAGAATAAAGGCCCTGAGTTCGATTCCTGCGAGCGGGATCATGGATGCGCACCGCTGAGGAGTCCCAAAATAGGACTAAACGGCCGTCTAGTGCTTACAGGTTTCTAACGGTGGTCTAACATCAATCGGTTCATGATCTTAATCGAAAATATGGGTGTGTTTAAATAAGTAAATACACCACCTATATTGGGTAGCAGTAGAAGGATGTTTAATTTTATCTTGGATTTCTTAGATGATATGCCTTAATGTTAATGTACTTGCTAAGACCAGAGTTGACTAGTTTCCGCTTAAATGTCCATGTTACCTACTGACCATTTACAGTCTTTAATAAAAATAGTCGGAAACTAAAAACCACTGGATGCCGACTCAGTGGTATAGCAGGTAAGCGTTTGTGCGGAAAATCGAAGGTCATGGGTTCATGTCCCGTGTGAGATATGGTGGATGTGCACTGCCGAAGAGTTTCGTACTGGAGCACAAACGGCCGTCCAGTGCTTTCAGGTTTTCCACGATGTTCAGTCTTAGATCGACTCATGAATATAACTTTAAACATACTTCAATCTTCAGAAACCCCTATTTTGATTAAAACCAATACATCATTTTTATTAAGAAAATGAATTGTTGTCTGTATGGACTAGCACTACCGTTCACCAGATATGGTGATGGCCATTTCGGTATTATGTAAAACTGTAATTATGTACTCTTCGATAGGCACAAACTATTGCGTTTATTCAGTTCAGTGTAGTCTTGCTTACAATGCTTTTACTAGCTTAGGTTGTTTCTATCTGACAATGTAACAAAATAAATATGACGTTTTTTCTGTAATTTTATTTCTTTGATGTATCATTGCAATCACTGATGTATGTTCATTGTAGAGAAATCTCTAAACTAGTATAAAAGAGAAATTGAGTACTTTTTCTATTGCTTAATTGTTCAGTTTATATAAATCCATTGAAATATAAAAATATCCAAATTAATCTTCAGAAATATCTTTTTAAATTATTTTCAAACCTTGGCCAATATAAATATATGAAGTGACGCTTTTAGATTATTAATATACTCAAGTATTTCCTGGCTTATGAATAAAAGTAGGCTAGTTAAAAATGTTAACATGTGCTTTAGTAAAATTTTTATAAAAGTGTTAGTAACTACATTATTTTTCTTAACAACTTATTAAACTATTTTTACATAGAAATAATAATTCCAATGTTCTATTGACAGCCTCTCTTTTCCCCAGCAGTCTGGTTAACAAATTCTTTACAAAAACGAAATCTTTGATTATGACCTATTTTGCTTTGAACAAGAAATTTACATGTTATTCACTTTTTCTCTTTCAAATCAATTGTTGAAATGTTCTTCTTTGTTTTTTTTTCTCCATCATTTTCTACAAAATTGTCTTTGAAAAGTGTTTTGATTGTTAAAATTTAATTTGTTTGCATGTAATGAATGCGTAAATACACATATTAGTATTATTCATTTGTTTTAAAAGAATGGACATGGAATAAACTAAAGATTTAAGAGTACTAAGGACCAAAATAGCATGTTAGGACTTATTGATTTGACCTTGTTTTATGACAATTTATGTAAATAGTTATTTGGAGATATTTTTCGATCGGAAACTTAACTACTGATTATTTGTTTGGTCACCTTAGTTGTTATTGAAGACGAAAACTGTTGTCTATTTTAAAATTTCTGTTTTGTATGATAATTTAAACCTTTTATCTTACGATCTTCAGAATGTAAAGTAATTTCACTGAGTTTATCTAGAATTATGGATTGATACTGGATCACTTTGTAAGTTTAATTAGTTTGTGAATCTTGTTGAATTTCATACATTTTCTTGACGTGTTCCGTAGTGTAAAAAATTCAGAAGACCATTTGACATGTAAAGTCTAACGTGAAATGTGATAGGAATAGTATATCTAAAATACAGATAAATGAATGAAAAATGTTTTTTTAGTCAGTTCTCTTCAGGTTTTGCAATTATATATCAAAGTGAATTATCTGAAAAGTGGCCAATTATAAGGTTAAAACGGCTTAAAATCACAGCCAATGTATTCCAGATTATTTGTAAAATAAAATAAAATTTTCATTATTGGATTGTGAAGATTGTTTAACTTCACTGAAATCATGAACCAATCAATGTTAGACAACCAGTGTTCAGCTGAAGGCCCTGGACCGCCAATCCATCTTAGTATAGAATTCTTTAGCAGTGCACGTCTACGTTCTTGCGAGTGTGGATTGAACCACTCAAACGCTCAACGTTTCGATCACTATCGAGATAAATAATATGAACCAGTGATTTTAACAATTTTATAGGTCATATTGGAATCTTAAGTTTAATGATCAAAGTGAATATGGGTAATATGTGATGAGAGAAATAATAATGTAATTACAAATTATGGTAATACTTGTCCTACTAAATCTATCAGAGTAAGAATACGTAAACGGCCGAAGACAGCTGTTCGGATCAAAAAGTTGGTTTGCGTTAATAAGTAATTATTTAACAATCACAATTTGATTAGTGTACATCCAACACTCCTCTATGTATCTTCACAGCCCAAGCTCATTAATGCATCTTATTATCATTATTAGCATAACGCTTGCAAACATTTCGAAAAATTTATTTAGAGCACACCCTTGTTTACCAATTCTTAACTGATTCAGATTACGTAATTGCTGACCAAGCACTGTATGATTCGTAATTTCACTAGTGTTTTTCTCACATCATATTAACCATATTCGTTCTGATTAGTAATCTTTTCATCTAACGCACAAATTCATTCAAACTAACATTCCATTCTGGTCATCTCAACGTTCATAAATTTATTTGACAAATAATCTGGAATTTAAGATGGTGGAGATTTGTAGCTCAGGTGGATGATTTTGGTGGTGTTTTGTTCTCTGAGCTGGATGGTTTGGTCGTGGAGCTTTCATCGTTCTTCTGAACGACATCATCAGCACAAACTTCTATCTGAAGTTTGTGCTGATGATGTCGTTCAGAAGAACGATGAAAGCTCCACGACCAAACCATCCAGCTCAGAGAACAAAACACCACCAAAATCTGGAATTTATTTTCTGTGATATATCTTATAATTGGCCACTTTTTAAATGAATTTTGATATGTAATTGTAAAACTAGAAGAGAACCGATTGAAAGAATATTCTTTGTTCATATATCTGTGCCTTCTATGTGACAGGAAATTTGTAGCGAACAGGTTGTGCCATACCTGCTAATTTGTCAAACTACATGTATAATGCGTAGTATTTGTGGAATTGAGGACTATGTTCATTTTATGCTGTGTGACGAATAGACTAAATTAAGGAAGAGTCGTGTATCACGTATTTAGTGTAGATTGATCAGACAATTAGGGGTGTGGTATTTGGATTAACTGAACAGTCAAATCAATGTATGAATTGTTAACTTAGTTTATATGCATATACATTTAGTACAATAAATTAATAAGGATACAAATGTGCATATTTGCCTATACTTAAAAATTTGTACACGTATAAATGTTAATTATTGAATCTGTAAACAATTACAAATAACTACTAAGACTGGAATGACTTAATATGTTTGATTAGCTTACAATCTATTTAAACACAAATAGAGATGAATGAATCAGCAACGTTATGATTATAATTTTAAGAGTAACAGAGTAACTATAAATTATCATAATTTTAATTATTGTTTGATGCAAAGATGTAGGGTGAACTATGAGATTACACAAGCAGAATTGGTTTGTAAGGTATGATATAACCACAGATTTCTTGATATGAGAGATCTGAATTGACATAGAAAGAATTCTGATTAATAATTCAAAATAGTAAACAAATGATGCAAACATTCAAGATTTCTTGGTTCCATGGTTATTTTTGCTCAGTGACTAAATTTAACATCTTTTAGGATAGCATAAATTGTACAACTTTATTAAATATTAATGAATGAGTGTCAATTTACAAAATAACAGTACATAAAAAACACTACTCCCAAATAGTTTTCGTCCAGTTTTAAGATAAAACAAAGCTGATAGCCTTATGAAATATCGTACTTACATCTTAGGCATTCCTTTGTTGTTGTTTTTTAGAATTTACAATGCTTTCGTCAGAACCAAAATTTAGCATTCATTAAATCCTATTATTTTCCATAGAATTTCATGAATTCAAGTTAGTAAGAATAATTCGCCGGTTGTTATTCCACGTAATTATTATACGAGTTAATTAATTAAATTAATCTAACAAAGTAATACTGTACATTGAAAACATAAAAACCTTAATTTTAACAGTAAAAAAATTGATAACAATGAAATTTTAATAGTTGAATTCATGAATCGATCTTAGCTAGGCCACCATTGGAAACCTGAAAGCATTAGATAGCCGTTTCGTTCCAGTATGGGACTCTTCACAGGTGGTCTAGCTTAGATCAACTCATTGATTAAACTATTAAAACTATGATCACGAATCACCATCCTGATAATTATGACGTCCATAAATTCTATTACTTTAAAGCTGTTTAGAAAATGTAGATGTAGACTTCCTGGTTGGCGATTAAGCGGTTACTGCTATTAGAGTTTAGAGATGTTGATTTATTTAGCTCGATATCGGTAATAATGCATCAGCATTCAAATTATCTTGGGTTTAAGTATTTCGTTATACATACCTTTCCACTTTACCCATTCGAACCATATTCACATTGTTAAGCCTTTTTCATTATCACTGCCACTATTTAATGTTGAAGGCTTATAATATTCATACTATTTGATCGATCTAGTCATGTCAATTTGGTATAATAAATTGAGATAACGCCTATTTATTCCGGGTCTTATGTGCATATGATTCCTTGACTGACTGAGTAACAACTAAACGTCATAATCTAAGCTTCAATAATTTTTTTTCATGCAACATTAACGTACAACGAATATTCCGTTGAAACATTTTTTTCATTTTATGAATGAAATCGTAACTGAATAAAAATGCAATTATACCGCTTTTATGATTTGATACCTTCAGGCATCATTATTTACTTACATAGATATTTTTGATACCAAGTGATATACTACCTAATATTTATTAACAAATACATAGTTTTTTAAAATTTAAAGTATTACAAACAAATGTTGGTAATATAAGTATTGAAAAGCAGAATACAATGAACAGAGTTCAGAATTCTTTACAAACCAAAAGGATTTCAATCAGAAAACATAGATTTTTCAAACCCTCATTAGGTATAAGTGACATTACACACCTAACACTAAAGGACGAATCAAAGAATGTAAATGTATTGAGAAATCACAATAAACAATTCATTGTTTACCTAATATGATTTGATTCTATTGTGTCATATTTATATTGTTAAAGAAGAAAAGGTTTATTAAATTTTGATAAATCAAATTCTGTATAGAAAGTGGCATTCGCTCAAAAGTTTTGTGATTATAACTAACTGCCTAACACTTAACTACATTCTAAAATTTAGTAAATCATGTCCACAAATTTTGTTTTGGAATTTGTTAATAAGTTTTCAACTTTTCTAGACATATAATTTGTGGCTAAATGTATATTTTGTTTTTAAATTTTTTTGAAGGTAGTGATTATAAAATAATCGCAAATGAAACACTTGAAGAATTGGAATGGTGTCTCAAACAATTGGAAAATATTCAGACAAAAAGGCCTGTCTCTGATATGGCTTTTTCAAAAGTGAGTTTGTCAGTGACAAATTATTTAACACGATTATTACCATTTAAAGTAGGCTAATTTGATCGAATATCACAATAAAATAGTTATTTAATTATTGCATTCACTTGGAAGAACATAACAGCATTATACGACACTCTATTTAAGGACGCATAACAATATTTTTTATCAGTAGTAGTAATTTTATAGTTCCTAATAATGCTATCACAGTGATTGAAGTCAGAGTATTTAATACGAACGTCAAGACAGTTCAACTGTACGGAGATAAAACTTGAGGAACTACTGCAACCATCATCACAAAGTACAAGTATTTATAAACAACTGTTTACATAAGATACTGAATGTCCGTTGGTCGAACACAATCAGCAACATCCTATTAATATGGGAGGAAACAAACCAGGTTCTAGCTGACGAGGAAGTTAGGAAAAGACGTTGAAGGTGGATAGAACATATATTTAGGAAATCATCAAACTGCATCATGAAGCAAGTGCTAACTTGGAATCCTGAAAAAAAAACGAAAAAGAGGAAGGCCAAAGAACACACTGCGTCGGGTTTTGGAAGTAGATATGAAAACGATGAATAGCGGCTGAAAATGACTGCCCAGGACAGAGTTGAATGGAGAGTGTTAGTGAGCGCCACATGCTCCTCCACGAGGGGTAACAGACGTAAGTAGTGAAGTAAGTGTTTGAAGTCAGTTAATGGGTCGTTACATAAATTTACGAACAGCACAGAAAACATTTTAAGCGAACAACAACAAAAACTGAATGTCGCTTGTCGAAATACATAACTCAATAAATGTCTCTAACTTTCATTTTTACCTAATAGTTTTAAACTTACAGTTCTATTTTTTTCATTTGTTTGTTTGTTTTACAAAGTTTAAACGTTTACTCAACAAAGAGTTGAATAGTTTTGGTGAAGCTGACAAGTCTAGACATCAAATATCTGCCTATATTTGTGAAACATTTTTAGGTAAGCGACTTATTATTAATAACCATTAACGACTGTTTATAAAACTAATCGAGCAGTTGTTCATTTTAATTGTATTTTTTTAAGTAGTGATATTTTTGACAGCACTAATGAATTTATTTTGATTTTGAAGAGATATTTGAATAAATCTTTCAATAATGTATTCGTCCAAAAATGATTATAGTTGTAGAACTCTAGATTTGTTCCAGTGTTAACTGCTCAGTTAAACGTAAGTGCATTCCAACGATTATATCTACCTTGAAAATCAAACTCAGCGGTCTCTGCTTCAAACACATATCAAGTCTATAAAACTGCGAAAATGTATTCAGCGGCATATGATTTGCCTGTAATATTAACAATGCATATTAAAACATTCATTTAATAAGCCTGGTCACTTTAGTTAAAAAATATCAGCAACTCAAACAATACCAACCGTCTTACAAATCTGTGGCTGGAAAAACAAGATAGTTAGTAGATAACAGTACTTATATAATTATCCATAAGTAATTTGAAAATATATGGAAGTTTTAAATCTTTAAAGAAATATAAGTATCAAGAATTTTCTGATATTGCTAAATGCTAGACGTCAGTTAGAATGTCTATATTCCTACAAGTGGCTTACATCTACATAAAATTAACAAAATGTATCATTTTTTATTGAAATTATGAAAGCGACATTATTAACGTTTCAAATTTTTCTACCAGTCACTATTTCATACGGTTTGTTTCTTTTGTAAAGTATCTACGACACGATTTACATATAAATATGCAGACGTATATATATATATATATATATATATATATATATATGTTTGTTTGCGGCAAAAGCTCATGCTTAACACTTGTCATTTACTACGGTCACTAAGTTTGATTATGCAACATTATGTTATCTTTCACTTCAGTAGATACACTTTGTAAATTTTTAATCCAGTATTATAAGTAACCGACAAAGTCCAGTAAAACACAATGAATTCATATTATTCTGCTTCATTAGTTACTACTAATCTATATAAAAAAATTAAAGCTGGATAAATATGGAAACCCTCGATAATTACTACTCACTTAACATGCCTTTCACTAAGAATGCTGGTGTGTGATCACGGCTACTCACTAGAACTTAGAAAATTACCTCACGAAGCTAGTCACTAATGACCATATGATAATTATCAGTATATGTTTGTGGAAACTGTTGAGTTTTATATGAAATCATGAACTGATCAATGTTAGATCACCGCCGAAAACATAAAAACACTGGACCGCCTGTTCATCTTAGTATATAACACTTCAGCCATGAGAATCCACAATCCCGCACCACAGACTCAAACCCTGGATCGCTTAACATCTAGACCACTGAGTCGGTACACAGCGGTGTTAATGTCTAACTCTAAATATTACAAGATATTGTGCGACCACCTTCCACTATCTTCAGCGAGTAACTGCCTGGAATATAATTATCTGAAATTATTTCTATTAGTTTAAATTGACTTTTACGGAGGACAAAGTTTATAACACGCCCTTCGACCCTGAGATCATCAACATATGCACAAATGGAAATCACAAAAAGAAGACTTTCAAACCTCTGATTTTGATTTATATAGATAAAAATATCCGATTACTCTAATAAAGTCAATTTCATCATTAATTTTTTAAGTTTATCAACCTTAGTAAAATATTCATCTTCAGGAATTGTTAGGAATCGGCATCAACTGGAAATCATATGAAAGCCAGAAACTAATGTTTTAATATTGTTTCAGACTCTTCGATAGCACGCACTTATTACAGTGCCAGGGGATCAAACCCATGACCGCCGTTAATGCAACTTATGCATTACGCTAAATCTGAATTGTCTAGTCCAAAGTCTCCAGTTTTTTTTGTGTACAACATCATATTTGTATATGTTCATTTATGTAAAGGTATTCACGACTGTCCGATCACTTACTAGTGATCAATCTCATGTATGTCAATTTCTTCTTAGTGTTGGTAGGATTCTATCCATCAAGTTGCAATTTGATCACTAGTCTCACTAACTCAACGTTTCGGGCAGTATGTTGAGATGCAAGGTGATGGTTAGAGTTCTTCGACCCTGTTGAAAGTTTATTGAACTAAATGGTTTTATTCATGTTAAAAAATACATTTATAAAATAGTCTATGTATTTTTTAATAAATCAGTGTATATATGGAAGATTTGAACTCATTAAATCAAGTGAATTCCTCGCATTCTACAATTTTTGATTTCTGTGCTTTATCAAATTTTCTCGAAAGAAGGTAACTCTGTGTCGCACAGTTTATCTTCGCTCAAATGAGATCATATTGGTTATTTTACTTACCTACGAAGTGAACACTAATGCTTCTACTATAATACTTACCAGAAATTCTAAGTAATATCTGATTGGTGCTACAAGTTTATTTATAGTAGTTTGAAATCGAACATAATATGCATATTATTTACTTCGGCGCACCCCTACAGTGGAGAAATTACTATTTTAACATGGATTTATTCACAGATTTTTCCTAATTGATATGGATGTGTTTACTTGCATTTTCCTGAACTGTGTAGACACAAGTAATTTACAGATAAGCTAAGCCAATATATTTTTTCCTTCGGTAAGTGTAATTCATTTCTTCGTACTTTAATGGGATCTTGTAGTTTTAACATAAATGCACAACACCTGTGAGATAAGACTTAACTTTAAACACTGAATGCCTGTCTAGTAAGTTTAAACAGTATACTGCGAACGTGTTTAAATTCGTAATTATAAATTATTATTTCATCTGTCAAACCTCGTAATACGTAAATAGATATTCGTCCATAGGAAGGTTTGTCTTACTGATTTTACTAAAGCGCACATTCGATAAATTTCTACTACTCCCTTACACTACTTTGAAATATCTATCTTTCAAAGCTTATACTCTGTATGCCCCTCCTAATGATTAGCTTATCGGTGTATATAAACACTTAAATAAAAATCTAAATCACTATTAACTCTTGATGATTTTAGATGTTTATTATTCCAAATCTAATCAATCTTTTCTTCTATATCGGATGGGTCTATTGAAAAAAAGCAGAAACTGAAAAAGACGTTGAAACCAATGAAGAGATTGATTCTATGCTGGAAAGACGACGTAGTAGTGGTCAGTCGCACAATTCAACCAGTGGACAAGATACAAATACTACAAGTAAAAGACAGTCTTCAGGAACTTGTGATCCAAATGCTAATGTAACCAATACAAGGACACCGGATACTTCTTCTTCCCTTTCCTCATCAGTTATAAAGACAAGATTAGGATCAACTGGAAGTATGTCAACTGAATCTCGTAAAAGCGCTCAACTAAATGATTCTAGTGGTTTGTTAACAACAAAATTGTCATCCAGTTCAAAGTCAACGAGTCAAAATGTAGACGATGGTAATGGGCCATACCTACCAATTCATGGAGTTGAAACGCCCAATGATAATGAGTTAGAGGAAGTAAGTTCGAACAGTTGGTGTGGTAAAATAGTATCTTGTTTAGTTTTGAAACATGTAAACTAATCTGAAATTGTCAACACTGAAAACAAAGAGACGCAAACATATTCAGGTAGACAATATAGTTATTTGATTAACCGAGATATGTTTGTATTCAAGAGAATAATTAGGTCCACCGGTGGAAGTGATCTTGAACATAAATGTCCAGCATTGCAAAATGTTGATAGGTTTAAGTATTCAATATTTTAATTCTTCACTTCGTTACACAAAGAACATCTTTAAGTTATATGGAACTCACATTCAAACATGTTACAAAATACAATGTTTCGCTATCCAACAACCATCCTATCTTTAACGACATTTAACATTCAAAGTAATAATTTAGACTTAATAATGAAAGCCTGATATATAAATTTGTTTCCCATCACAGTCAAACGGTTTTGCAAAAAAATAGATTTACAAAGACATTATTCATGAAACATGCTATTCACTAGTATCATTTTGAATTGCAGTTCAACATGACATAATTTCTAGGTAGTTTTTGAAGGATTTTTCGGTGGATCCCAGTAGTTAGTACAGTCATTACCACTTGATTCTTTGGTAAGTACATTTCACTAGATACTGTAAGTTTATTGCTACGCTCATTGATTACCACTAATAATAGACGCATCCATCCCATAAACTGTAAGTGTAAAGTTTTCTTACTTAAAATGTTTAGATATTAATCATCATTCCTTGATTCTACGTTACTAGTTGAATTTTATGTTTCATGCATTTTGACTAGTTATATGCGATAGCCAAGAGGTATTCCAACTCTCAATATCGAATATTTCTCAGACGTACGAATCTTTCCCCAAATCAGTACAAGCACTAACAAGATTTTCATTATTAAGTGTTTTTAATTTATTGCAAATCTAAGTAAGAATGAAGTTTTTTTGGTATCTGCCATTCATTTAGACCACTAGCTTTCGGCAACTAGTTTTTCATTGTAAAACAATTACATTTAGATGATAGATGGAAACTAAGATCTGTTTCACAGTTATTTTGTTTTAGACTAGGACTGTAAAAGTAGGCATTCCCCATTTCATAACATTTACAATACTGAATAGTCATGCATTGGAAGGTTTAACTATTATTTCATTAAATTAGTATGATATGGGCAATACATTTAAAAATCAACCAATTTATCTTACAACGTGAACATCATCACTAGACCTCTATGATTCATTATCTCATTTTCAATTCGTTTGCTTCCATATGAAACTTTTGATCTAACTAGTTTAGGATACACTAATCTTATCTGCATTTCTTGTTGATACACCTGGTCTATCTTCGTTAATATGAATTGAAATATCCTCAGATGTCTTTAGACATCAGTCTCTTCATTTGCTTCAACTTCAAATGTTTTACCAAAGATGTAGAGACAAACGATCTCTTCAAATTCAATTTATCAACAATAATTCAAACAGTAAACTCACATGCGGATAACACAAAAGATTGTGCATATTTGATGTTCTTATTAGTATGGTAGGTCTTAGCCTTTCATCATGCTTGTATTCTCTACAACTGGAAATCTCTATAATTATCCTTGAATTCTTCATGGATCTGTAGCTCACCTTTCTTGATCATTTCTTTGAGTATATAAAAAAATAAATCAAGTAGCTAACAAATCAAAAGGAGAAATTCATATTCATCCTGACTTATTTAAATATAATTGAAATTATTTGCATGAAAATTCATGTAACATAATGGAGAAAGTTATGCAGATTTTGTAATTAGGTTATTTATTTATTTGCTACTCTGAAGAAGTGGCTTACTGAGGGAATAGATTGTTCACAAATAAACAAAGCCATAAAGAATTAAAAGTCAAGAATGTAGAATAGTTTTCATGATTTATTTTGAGAACACAAATTAAATCAACTGAACGAAAACTAAATAGAAGAAAATAATGATAGATTGTTCTGAGATTAGCAAAATTGGAATTTTTACTCTGATAATTATCTTTCTGTGTAGATTTATGTATGAATTCGTATTAATTTCAGTAAAATGTAAATTGTATATTGTGAGTTCTCAGTTTCAATGTTTGTACATTGAATTTCTTATCAGAATAAAAACAACGCAAAACAGTTCCTTCATAATTGATATTAACAGAGTTACTCCGGTTAGACATTCATTGAAAACCAGGAAGCATTGGATAGCTGTTATGTCAGAGTATGGGATTATTCACTAGTCTACATCAAGATACCACTGAGGATCAAGCCTAGGGCCTTCATGTTTTACGGCGATTACTTAAGACTCGAAACACTTGATCAGGATCCATTGGTTTTTATGTCTAATTTCAATCAACTGGATATATTGCGTAATTATCTCCCTCACATCTGACATGCTTAAACACCACTGGTAAGTACTTCTCACTAAAACTCAGAGAATTAGCTCTTGAAATTTTTAGTTAGTGAGCCCTTGATTATTATGGCAGATATTGTTGGATGCTCAGCATCTGCACTTACAAACCACTGTAGTATTCATAACCATGTACTCGCTTGTGACTACGATAAGTAATTACGCGAATTTTAGTGAGGAGACGTGACCAATAAAGTTCCAACACTGGAAGATGGTTGCTGAATACTACGAATTAAATGGTGTTAGACAGGTGAACTATTAGATGACGATTCTGTCAAGATTAAGAAGTTGCCGTAGGACACAAAGATTCTGGGTTCGAATCTGAGCGCGATGGTATATACTTACAGCCGAGGAGTCTTTTATTACTACAGCTACTAAATGAATTCTTGGTTTTAATTTTCCTCTAACTGGTTTGTGATGTTAACTATGAAATCCAAAAGTCTACACAAACAATATAAAACAGTCTCGTCTAGCAAATTTGAAGTTTAATTAACCTTCTCATAAAATGTGCCATCTACGTATGTTTCGTATTACAAGTTGAATAAAATGTAAGCTTACTTTTTACTGACAACATATCAATTATGCTGGCTGCATTAATCCGTCATTTCAATATTTCCTCTGTCAAAGTTCACTAACATTTGCATGTTTGCTTCATTTTTATATGAAGCGTTAAGATTAGATATTTAAGTGTCTAAAGTATATAACTTACAGGAATATCCTTTTTCATGGTGCTTTGGTGAATTCTCTTCAAAACTTAATTTAAATGCGGAATCGCTAAGGCCAGTTAACTTTCTAACTATCTACTTTTTGTTAACACTTTCTTGAAGTTGGTCGGAAATGAGATAGATTGATGGTGGTTCTCTTACAAATTTCATAAGTTTTGATCACAATGATATTGAATAAGTAGACTTCAAATTAGATAATGGTAACTAGAATTGGTCGAACTTTTAATAACCATATCTAATCTTTAGCCAAACGTTAACTGTTAAAAGTATACATTTCGTATGATGTAACTGAGATATAACTGATCTAGCTTAACGAATGTAACATCATTGTAAGATTAGTTGTCTAGTCAAGAGAGAATAAAGTAAGAGGTATAAAACATTCCATTTTGAAACAGTATAAATCCGAAAACAAGAAAAAAAACTTAAACATCATGTGATGGTACAGATTATTGCATGCAGCAGGAAAAAACTAACGATTATTAGCAGTTGTTTAAAATGGTAATTATTGAATGTTTTTATGATAGTTGGTGTAAATAAAGAAACAGTTCAATGTCTAATTCAGTTATCAAATTACCTTAAATCAATAAAAAAGAACAAATTTTCTCATTAAAATCATATGCACCGGAAACAATTAATCATGAATAATAAAAAAATATTTTTTCGTTTATTTATAAATCTAGCTCATTTAAGATATTTGTAAATAAATCGGCTAAATTTCAGTTTCACTGCAATAAATAATATAAACTGATGTAAAACTTGGGAACGTACACTTTTTAAATTTCACTAAGACCTGATCATCATTGATAAAGTAATGAAAATCAGATGGCATCAACTAGTTGTTTAATTTGAGTTTAGGATGCTGGAACAGTGTGCAACCCTACAGATCACAAATTGTTTAACATTCATAATGTATACAGTTTGATTCTATCTTACTCATTGTGGTTGTGTGGTGTGTTTATCTGATCGAGAAGTGAGGATGTTTGATACTGGGAAATTCAAATTAGAAAGAAATGTCCGACTACTATTCTGTTTTACTAATCAGTTATTTAGCTGTAAATTATCAAAGCTACTTTGGTAAAAATGTATTTCAAACAAAACATGGTCTTATGAAATTACTGCCTGTCAAAATTTCTTATGTTGAAGAGTTGTTCGTCAGTACTCTCGGTAAATATGTTGAAACGGAAGTCTAATTCACAGTTTTATCTATAAACTCGATAATTTAAATGTATACCGTGTCATTTCAGTAATTAATATTTCCCTCTTTTTATGATGAGGATAATTTATGGGAGAACTTTGACACTGAAGTGACCTTGCGAAAACCCACCTACCTACTAGGGTCTTAAGAGGACTATACATTAGTGTGAGAAGTTACGGTTAGGAGTCAGAGTGAGAGTTTTCATTACTGACTGATATTACCTGTTATACCGAAATACTATTTAGCCTTACTGATGAAAAACATTTCCCTCCGAAATCCAAAACTAACTACAATAAATTTAATTGGCTCACCCATAAATTAGTTTCTCAATTTTTATTTCATCATGCTTTAATCAAAATGTTCACATTATTGCCTCTATTGGTTTTAGAGATTCTCGCAGTGTTTGGATGAATGGGGTTTAGACATCTTTGAAATTGATCGACTTTCTAATGGACATGCCCTTACAACAGTTGCTTATAGAATATTTCAGGTATTGTTTAAAAAACATATTTTCTTCATATTTCAACTTGTTTAACTTTGTAAACTGAATATACCCATTGAAATATAAAATAAGAAAGAGTGGTTCTGTGAAGAGATAACTTTTCGGCAAATTCACTTCCAAAGCTGTACAATCGCAAGTATATACTTATTTTCCAAAATGATGAAATTTACAATAATAGTGGTAATGAAATTTCGCTAAACCGATAACAGTGAGAAAGAATAAACAATGGTATTTAAAGGTTATTTTATTTACCAACAAAACTAATAATAATTTGGTTGTTGAGTGTTCGAATATTCATCATAAAGATAAATAAGGAAATTCTAATAGGGAGGGGAAGGTTCACTATGACAAGATAAGCTGTTGAAATTGAGATGAACTGTAATCAGGAGAATTATCGAAACAGAACCAGACCAGTTTGGTGTAAAAGGTCTATAGAAAAGATAGAAGAGAAGCAGATGTCTGTGAAAGTAGATAAATATGAAGAAGCATGAAAAAATTACGATAGATTCAGACCATAGTAGAAGAAGTTATACCAGTTCCTTTTTGGACATATAATTCTGGTTGTCCCAGATATAAAGCTAGTTTTTCTGCAGAAATAAGTAAATGCCTTTGGAAGCTTTCTACCCACCTTATAGATGACTTTAAACACATAATGCGCCTTGATTGAGTGATCTGTATTCACAGGGTATTCGAGTATTGAGCTTCTTATTTCGATATTTCCACCTTCTTTCAGTCAGAATGGGTAATATTCTTGAATGTTTCTGGATAAAATACGTATCAAACGACCAATACATCAGGCTCTACATGAACAGATAAATTAGTCAAAAACGTTCAGTTTTCATTAGATATGCAAACTTATTGATCATTGAAAGACCTTAGATAACAGTTCGTAAATATTAGTTTAAACTTTACTCACTAAACCAACCAATCGAGCAGAAAGTTATTCAGATGAAAATGAAATTGAATTAATGGGGAGAAAACAACACAAATTCTTAATAATAAAGCTTATAGGTTTATCAGAAACCATTTTTTGAATGTAAGCATTACTTGATGTATAATTTCATGGTTAAATTAATATGATATGAACAGGATAATAAGTGAATCTCTTAAAATTTCCGATGATGCCCGTATAAAACTAAAATGTTTCAGAGCCATAAAATGGAAGTGTGTCATGTTTTTTATGTCATATCATTTACCGATATTTATAGTGCCCAATAGTTTCTCTATAAAATGACCATAGGAATTCAGTAACTATATATATTTGAAAGGTTAACAAATGTGTTTATCAAAGAATCATGTATATATAGATCTTACGTCAACAAATATCGGATCATTAGTACGTAACATTTATCAATGATACTAACATTAACTCAGCTATCATTATTATTAATGTCAGTTATACCAATGAAATGAATGAAACTGTGGACAGCTTTTCATTAGTTTTTGCTTGTAATTATATGAATTCATTCAGTTAATCGTAAGAAATGTAGAACCTAACACATTTTTACATCTGTCTAAGCTATTGTACTACACGAACACGTCTAGCTGAAATTATCAGGATGATTTTTAATTAGTAAAACTAGAATAAATACACGACAATACATAGGAAACAATACTAGTTTTAAAGACTTTTGATTATACTACTGCGAGAAGAAGTTAGTTAAAGCATTTAATTGGAAGATAAGTTGAAGTATTTAGTCGAATAATATGGTTGACTAAAAAAAAGTCTGTGTATGTGTGTATGTGTACCGACTATCCTGACTAACATTTGTTTTGTTCACAATATAATGAAAATTGATATTGTACTCTTTCACACAATAAAATAATCAAAGCAGAACTATCATATCATACATAGTCAATCATTTAGAAAAAAATGGAGTGAGAGGAAATATATTATATGAACATTGATCGGCATCATTGTTTATTTGTTTCACTATTGGTTTTTAATTTCCTTTTGTTTGGTAGATTCAATCACCTATGAAATTGTTCTCATATCATGCTTTTGACTTTTGTTTTTACCAGTTAGTTCATTAGCATAAAGATGTTGATAGATAAATCATTGTTGACTGGGAAAATCACACTAAGTAATAATGACATTTTGTCAATCTGTTCACAAAATGTTTAACATTGGCTTATATTGAGTTTTCTTCTAAATCAATGTTCATGATAAGATTTTTGAAGTCAATATTTTCAAAATTAGTTTATTGTTTTGAACTGATTGATAATTTAAGGTTTTTGAATACTACAACAAAGTATTTAGCTTACAAATATAAAATGAACTGACATTAGATAGTTAAAGGTAGTTAACAGGACACTTCTAGCTTAAGTTTAGTGCTTATTGTACTTGTTTATTGAGGAATTCAAGTTGGCAGATTCTCCTCATGATTAGAGAAACCCCTTGTCGATGAGTTTCAACTAGCAAGAAACCTGGTTACAGAGTTCTAGATCGACTTCGTCCAACTACTGTCAATTAAAACATAGTTCACGAGTTGTTGATTTACATAGACTGATTGGCGGACTACAATATAATCGATAGGATTCAGCAGCACTAGACGATTAGACATGTGTGATTTTCTCAACGAGACCTATCAGCACTCTTAACTCAGTAGATGCTTTCAGGAAGGTATGGGCCAATATTATCTGGTTATACGGTCAAATACATTATTCATGTGCTGCTCACCGCTCAGAGATCTTTTGTATGATTGTAATGTTCATTCTGATTGGTCAATGAGGAGTAACCAACGTCAGGTTTGTACCGAGCGAACTTTATCGACCTCTTGTAGCAGTAAATTTTTTAATAAACCAAATTTATGTACATCTTCAGTTCTGTCTTATTACTATGAAAATTCTATGTATATATATGTACATATATATTTTACTTTACAGAAACGTGATTTACTCAAAACATTTTGTATTGATCCTCGTGTTTTTGTACGTTATCTGTTAAGAGTTGAATCAACTTACCATGCTGATGTTCCTTATCATAACTCAATGCATGCAGCCGATGTTCTTCAAACAGCACATTTTTTGTTACAAGCGGAAGCATTAGACGTAAGTCGTATGAATCGGTTGGACTTATAAATATCTGTTGGGAAATTGAAAACAATATTTATAGTCAGATTAAAAATTTAGATATGTGTATTTCGGGTGAAAACAAAGTATCTGTTTGGATTTAAAAGTATTTTTCATTGAAAGCTAACTTTATTAAAAGCCTATGAAATAGTAAAGTACATCATGCTAGCAAATGAGTCAAAAACCGAATTAAAACAAAAGATTTTGAATCGTCTTAGTGGTTAAAACTTCAACTGTGATTTCAAATGACTTTATTTCAAATTTGAATTGATGGATACTAGTGGTTAGAGCGTGCGTCAGTTACTTTCAGTTTTCATCAACATTCGTGAGTAATAAGATATCATGAACTCAAAAGAATATGAAGAAAATTCGAAGTGTCATATTGAGTTAATTTGAAAAGCAAAGGTTTATTTTTAAAATCACATTCATCAGTTATTCCTTGAGAGTTAAATTTAAAGTTAAATTCTCTGTTGAATAATTTTAAAAGAATAACGTATCTGTATTATTGGTAAGGGATTTTTTTATCCCGACGTTCATATTCAAAACCGAAATTGAACCAGGATTATAAAAAACTTTGCACACCATTTAATATCAAGTCATGGGATATATATGGACCACAACTCCCATTGGAATTCAGGAAGTTAGCTCTGTTTAAATCCGAATTTGTCAGCCAATTAGTGGCTGTTTGGACCCTGTCACTCTAAGTTATTTAAAGCAAAAAGTGCTAAATTGCTTCATAGTGTAAACACAAAGGTTGAGATATAGGTACATCCAAGTGCCTAGTCTCATATAGGATGAAAGGCGCATCCTGATTTTACCATTAGCCATAATCGGTTTATATTTTACACTAAGTATATATCTATATGTCTGATTCATAGTTAATAAATACATTGTATCAGACTTACTTTTTATAGGCAAGCTAACACTGTCTGAGACACTGGCGTTTGTTTTAAAGCATCAATTCCTTTCCCGTCTTCCCAATAATCATGATGACAAAATTGACCATAAAACTTACAAAACTAATTTATTTGGCAAAGAAATGAAAAAATAATTCTGAACATCAGATATTTCCTATTTCGCTTTGATTTCTGTTTTAAAATAAAATTCTCATATAAATTTTTACCACTCCAATAAATATTACAGAGTTTTATTAAGTAGAAGAAAATTATGAGTTAAATGATATTTACTGTAATATTTTAGACCAAACACTTTCTAATTTCAATTGTAGAAAAATAAAGTTAACAACATTCAGCCGAATGACTATGAAAAGACATCTCTTAATTCTGATCAGTAGTATTATTACTTACATTGGTCTTTGGACATACTCGTAGGTCCGAACTCTGTGGGTGAACATCATAATTGAAAGACTAGATCATTTATATCAGTAGGGCTTCAGAATTTTAGTTAATTAAAAGTCCAGTATACTTCTTCACTGATATTGCGATGGATCTTGATAATGTACAGTTTATTGTCAGATCATTTAAGCCGTATTCATGAACATGACAGGATGAAATTGATTTCTTTTATAACCCAAATGTATATTTGATCCACTGCGGTAGTGATTTATTACTAGTTTGGACTAATCAATATATTATATCTGAATGAAGTACTAATCAAAGTAAGTTTTAAATTTCGCGGTAAAGTTATTACTTTCAAGTCGTTTTCATTACAAATAAATAAACGTGTTTCTTTCATGAATTATTTTTTGATAACATTTAGACACTATACAGAATATGCGTTCTTTGTTCACAACACTTCAGATTTAGCACCGCATAATCCAACAGTGCTGATCGATATTTTCATTCCAGCTAAATTGATGAATACGGCTGACAACAGAAGGTTGTGTTCAGAGATGGAAACAATCATGAGAATCTACTTAATAAACTGGACTACACTAAAGGTTGATTAAGGTAAATAGGACTAGTCATACAGGATATACTAAGTTGATCAACAACTTACAAAACATTCAGTAAGACTGAGTTTATACGGTTCTTAATAGACTCAATTGACTGCCCTTATTTATTGATTTCTCTTTAAGCTAACTATCTTGTAAAACAAAATCATTCTATTTCAGAGTTCCTTATCCAAATTGTTTTCTAGGTCAATAATTATTTACATTGTTTCTTCAATAATTTCTTTAGGATGTTTTCAGTGACTTGGAAATTTTAGCTGTTCTGTTTGCCGCAGCTATACATGACGTAGATCATCCTGGAGTAACTAATCAATTTCTAATCAATACTGGTAAGTAAGAAAAGTAAGAAGATAAAGAATATTTATGTCAATTTTTGAGGATTTATTACATTTGACAAATACACTTTTTGAGTTCACTAAACTTCTGAAAAACATTAGTAACCTAATGGAGGTACTTTTCAGAATTGTAAATATAATAGATTATGATGTTTTGAAATACAAACAGATATGTGTCTGGACATGGGTTAACTTGAGCAGACTAGTTCACGAGAAATAAGTTGTTTTCAATAAGCGATTTATCTTGATGTTATTGTTCATATAGCTGTGATAAAACCTTTCATTGGGTGGAAAATATATGTCACTTGTCACGCTTTTTTCTCAGCAGCAGAATGAGTAGACAGTCACTTGTAGGTTAAAAGTAATTAAATAAGAAACTACTGTTTCGTTGGTTAATGTATTTTACAGTCTATTCAAGTCCATAATTGAAAGTGAAAATCATCAACGCCCGGAAGTATAAAAGATAATTGAAGTTGAAATATGTTTACTAACAAATAAATTATCATTATAACTATTGTTAATTTACTTAGATAAATGAACAACACCAAAAAATAATAGACTGTACAATAAATCATGGAATAATCATTCAGCATAATTAAGTGTTCAACAAAATCAAATGAATAAAAGGATATGGTCTAACATTAAATCAAAACACTTCATGTCCTAAGTAACACTTATTCTAATTAGAAACTTAAATCATTTCTGAGGGCGTTATGTGCATTGGTTAAAAATTAAGCCTATAAGACTATTATTATTATTATTATTACTAGTATGCTAGTGTAAGAGCTTGACTTCTTACTTAGACAAACTTAGACAAACTTGTTTACAAAGGTTCAGCGATACCAACATCAAACAAGATTGTTATGAGATTTGAAGCAAACGCTGAATGTATCAGCAACATCTGACTACTTTAATTACTACCATCATGAATTGTTTGCTCGACATAATTAGTCATTCACTATTAACTGTAAACATTTTGCTTGATAACAATTCTAAGTTAATTTCGTTTTTGTTGTTATTCTTGTTCTCTGATGTCTAAATTAAGGGTGACAATGTCATGTAGTGATTAATTTGAGTTTATAATTGATTGATCACTGAATAGTGACCAATGTTATGTCTGTCAGGCATTTAATAGAAACCTAATCTTATCTATTCAGTTGAGCTATGTTCGGGAGTTTCAGGGACTCGGCATCGTATTCATCATATTTTGTATTAAGATGATTGGAGTAAGTCTGTAGGAAACTAAAGATCTAGGTTTTGTGCTGGTCGGGACTCTTCAACAAGCCATGTCTTATATTCTTAAGAAGACTGATGCTTCTTATCGGACTTGGACACAGAGATATTCTGACGAAAATTCAGGTGGGTCTTGTTTGTAAGCTCCAATACCAGAGACTCCTCTCAACTGCCTCTTACCAACGAACATTTCAGCTTAGTTAAGTAGTAGATAGGCGGAATTTGTCGATGAATATCCCTTTGAGCAGTGCTAAGGGGAGGGTGTGAAAAATTATCTACCAATGTGTCGGCTAGTGAGAATACTAAATTTACATCACAGTCGCTTTAATGTTATTTGGATGATTTTAGAGGCACACCCTAGACTGGTTGCAGTCCGAAATAGGAACTATTCTATGGCCTAAAAGTTATTTACTTGTATAGAGACTTGAAGTTTTAAGTGTGTACTCTTGGGTCAGGGTACATGTTTTTCAACCTAAACCAACTATAACCAATCCAGAAAGAATACGAATTTCTTCTATCTGTAAGAGTTTGTATATAACTGGAGAATATCGCTGATTATCTTAGGCAATCAAAAAACATGAAAAAGATGAAAACAGACTATGAATCCAACTTAATGACAAATATGTGGTAATTTGTGGAGATTGTAGCATTTTAACAGTTGAATTCACGAGTCAGTCTAAGCTAGACTTCCAGTGAAAACCTGGAAGCACTAGATAGTCGTTTCATTCTAGAATAAGACTAGTAAGGGGTGCGCATCCACGATCCCGCACGCAAACGCTTAACCTCCAGACCACTGAGCCGGCATTCAATTATGTTATGGTTTTCGCAAGACCTTGGATCAATTGAAGTCAGACATTAAAATCGTTGTATGCCTGCTCAATGGTTTAGAGGTTAAGTGCTCACATGCGAAATCGAAGATTCTGGGTTAGAGTCCGACGTGAGAGATCGTGGATGCGCACTGCTAAGGAGTTCTGTTCTGAAACGAAAAGGCCTTCCAGTGCTTCCAGGTTTTCGATAGTGGTCTAGTTTAGATTGGCTCTTGAATTCAACTGTTAGAATTTATGGTACTTAAATCTATATTATCATCAGTATACGATCATCATGACAAACATTCTTGTATCAGTGGGTTTTTTATTAAAGTAGTGCAACGAGAAAAACAGAAACTTTTGTTGTTCCTTGATAAATATTATTCTAGTGTTTATGATCAGTCAAAAAAGTCAGTTGAAGAAAATATTTTTAAATGAAACATAATTCTTCTAAAAATAATATCGGTGAATATTTCAAACGTTAGCAATGATTAAAAACTAATATTTTTTTCGTGGTGTAAAACTCATTTTTTACCCGATTTATGACGGATTGTACGCGTGGTTTTCAGCGTCCACTTTTCATTTTAACTCTACTGTTTAAAACAAAACTAACAATTTCGGCTTTTGAAATGCATAATTTTATGATGTAGTCAGCACATTTCATTTACTTAGAAAAAAATCTAGAACAAACTGTGGTATATGTTGAACTTTTCAGTTTTACCGACATATGGAAAAGTCTTCAGTGGTATTATTTATGCACTGTAATGTTCAAATGTTGTCTCTATAAATTATCATAATTTTTGAATTAAATACTCTTTCATTGACTAGAAAAATAGAGTTCTGATTATTTGACTATGTGGTAAGGTTGTATAAAACATAAATATACATTGGATTATGTAAGTTAGGCGAGACTATAATTTATGAACGAACCAATCAACTATAGTGCAACAGGTTTTGGATTTTGGCGCGAAATTCATTCATCAATTTGAACAAATAGTGTTTAGGAATTTTAGCTGATGTCGGTTTGTGATAGAGACCCTAAATCCAGTTCCTAACCCTAACCACCAACTGTAAATCTTATTTCTAATTCCTTACAATGGTTTAGTCCTAGTTTGTAGGTGGACATTCTCAAGGTCATTTTGCGTCGATCAAAGGTTGTGGTCTCACTGTGAGTTATCTTAGTCAATCTGTTGAACTTATTTATTTGATAAAATTTTAGCTTGTACTCAAAATCATTTGTTATATTAGACAAAAGGTAAATAAAAAGACTCAAGCAAGTGAATAAAATGGGAAAGAAGTATGATTTTATTGATTTTTACGAATTGATTTTCTCTTTTTCTTTGAATTTTTTTAAATAATTTGTTTTAACTTCGTTACCATGGATTCCTTGGCGTTAACATAAATCAACGTAATATATTCTAAATTAAAATATACAATTATTTACGTGTACATTAGTAAATAATATCACGAAAGGTTAGGTGAAGTATGGAACATTTTATAAGGTTCATTAACAATCGAGATTTGATCCTGTTAATTCGTTATTAGGAAATTATTTGATCTAATTAGTGCGTCTATATAAGTATGTTTGAATATAATGTCGTTTAGTGCTATACTTCGATAAATGAACAGACACTTTAATAACACGTACAGTTTATATATATATATATATATATATATATATATATATATATATATATATATATATATATATATATATATATATATATATATTACATGTAAGTTAAGGATTAGTTACCTTAAATATACCATTGAATTAAAATGAATTTAATTCCTAAATATCATAATTTAACTTTTGACCTGACTTAATTTGTGAATATTTTAAGAGGCAATTTATAAATGTTCAGTGAAATTAATTCTTACCGTATGTATTGAATTTGATTCCCTCAGCAGAATGCAAATTATTCATACACCATAAATAATAAACTTCAGTGGCGAAATCTAGGAGCAGTAGCTAGGTGTTTTAATTATAATATATTGTCATGATGCCACTCAATATTTTAACGGTTAATAGGAAGATTACTGGAAATCAGACCAAAGTTCCAAGGTTTGATACCAAGTAATGTCTTGACTGTTTACTGCTGAGTGGTTCCAAGCTCAGCGCTTCCTGATTTTTAGTGTTTCCATAATTAGCATCATTAAATAACGAAATACCATATCACCTTTTAATGATTTATACCGTATTGAATCAAACGTTCTTTCTTAGAATAAATGAGTCGTGTCTAACATTTGAATTCATGTTGAAACTCGTCAGCTGGATGTACTTGAGTCCTAGTGTTGAAGACCACATTGGGACTCGGACCGATTTCTTTTCTCTTCATACACGAAACGTGCTATCTAGTTGACTACAGAGTCCAGATAATTGCTGAATATTTTTAGGGGTTTAATCAGAGAATGAAGTATACGGATATTATTTAAATAAAAATTATCAGCTAAACATTTGGAACATTTGACTTTAGAGAAACATTAATCGTACAACCAGTGAAAATCAAGAAGTTAACCAGATCATACTTAAAACGATAACTCACAACTGACAATGAATGAGTGATCATAATATATTGCCAAGTTAATGATATTTAAGCCGTTAGGGATTTAAACTTCAGATTTAATTTAATTAGTTAATCATCTTAATTTTAATGATTACATCGACCAGATGATAATATTTTAAATAAACTATATAAAATCATTGAGCTAAAAGACATAACTGTAATCACCTTAATTTCGTTATATACATGGGTAACCACTTTAAAGATTACTAACAATAGTTGATCCATCATACTATGAAAGCATTCATAATGATGAAGATATTTTTTGTTATATCATAATGAGTAGAAAATTGTATTTCCGACGTTTTGTGACCTAATGTCAGCCACTGCTCCAGAGTAAATAAATGAACGACATTGTTAAGTTTCTACCCAATGCTCAAGTCCGACCTTGGTATTGATACCTACAAATTCATGGTGGTTGATCGCTAGGTAATAATAGATATGATATTTGATAACAGTTGACAGGATTCCTTTGCCTCAGATGTCATGCTAACTAACTCTCTTCAGTTAGGCGTATCTAGGATAATGAAGAAACAGGCGTTCTCCTAGGGATTCTTGATCTTTTTTATCCGGTATCACAGACAGAAACTCTACTACAAGGTGATTTGGATCGAGAATGACAGATCTCCATCATAACTTAGATGTTTATACTGACTGATTACCTAATGGTAATCCATGTCATAATTGCTAAGTCTTTATTGTTACCTGAATGCTTTCAGCCCAGCTTTAATATAATCACCATACTAGGTAACTTGACATTGGGGTGGACACTTGTTTTCACTTAGTGATCAGACACAGTAAATATCTTCATCCTGCAATGTCGGATACATTTTAGATAACAGGTCGATAACCACTCTTACTGTAGCACAGTATTGTTGAAACCTAGAGATATAAATAGTTTTATCATCAATACAAATGTCCTTTGCTGACTAAAGTCATTTACAAACATCTGTGTGCAAGGCTTCTTAATAATTGTTTATGATTAACTAATTACGAGTATTCTTCAGTGTATATGCTACACTATTTGTTTCCAGGTTGGGCAGAGTCTTCTGACAACTCTAAGCAACAATGCAAGCATGTTCGGGATGCGATTCTCCTCTCGAAATGCGAAGTGTTGCTTCGACACCCGAACCAATGATAGGGAGTGAAGTAGATGAGAGTGTCGACCGCTTCACTAGTCTTGAAAGTCTCACCAGCCCTTATGGTCTGGTGTGTGACGAAATCTCAGCATGGATACAGAAGGCTCGACTAGCTTTTGCCAACTCCCGTCATTTATGGCATAGGTAAGATATCCGTCTATCAACCAAAGGACGTGCTTACTGTGCAACAGTTCGTTCCGTCCTACTTTATGGTAGTGAAATATGACCGATAAGAGCAGAGGATATTTGTAGTTTACTAGTATTCGATCATAAGTTTCTTCGAAGCATTATTCGTAAATCCTGGGACCACCGAGTAAGTAATGCAGTTGTTAGGAAACGGGCGCTAGGTAAGGATTACAAATTAATTGATGAAGTAGTGAAACTTCATCAGTTGAGATGGCTTGGACACGTGTTACGTATGCCCAACCATCGATTGCCCCGATGTGCGATATTTTATAGTGTAGGAGTAGGTTGGAAGAAAGCTAGGGGTGGCCAGACCGAAACATGGCACAAATCTATGAAGTCTCTAACAGGTGGACTGAGCCATGTTGGTAGGTGTAGACTACCTGGTTGGGATCCGCGAGATGATAGCCACCTATGGTTTGAGACGTTGAATGACATGACTCAAAATCGTTTGCAATGGCGCAGGTGCATACACCCTTTGTGTTCTCCCAAATTCTAGTCTTCTGAATTCTTCATGTCCATTTCTTTTTTCTCTTTCAAAATTCATTTCATTGGATTATACTCCTTGAATAACATCTTCAAACCCTAATCTTTCGGATTACTGCTTATACTCTTACTATCCCTACCACTACGAAATTTGAGTTGACAACTGCATCTCTGTGCTGTGGTATGGCAACTCAAACTGATGTATGTACGTACGAAGTTCTAAGTTGTTACTGACTGACTGACCGTCTAGACATCTTTTATTATTCTGTAGTTGCGTATTTCTGATATTCGCCTTACATACTTCAATATTAACATATAGGTTAACAGTATTATTCTCAGTTGAATTTTCATCCGCCTTTACTCTGATAGATGGCTTATAGATTGAGTGAAATCAATCTGCCCAAATGACCTTACAAAGAAGGTCAAGGATTACATGAGAGAACCAAGGTCCTCGGTTCGATTTACGGATATGGTGTCACGAATGCACACTGCTGAGAATTTAAAGCATTGGTTCAACCATTCATTATCCTTACCACAACTGCTGGTATGCTTGTCATGCTACTATCAATTTGTAATCTTTACTTATTACGTTAGGTTATGTAATCCATTTGATTGTTGTCACCGTAGCATAAACTGTCTTAATTAGTTTAATATTTTTCGTATATGCACGTAAGTATATTACTGTATAGTAAAGTAAAGCCTAGTGAGGATCTAATTGCATACAATATTGTTCGTTTATATTCATTGTACGATTTTACACAATAGGGATGTTTCTATAATTTGAGTATTAATACACTATAACCTAGTTCACTAACAAATAATGATAAGATCTATTATTATATTTAAAATTTAAAAAAAGATTGTGGGGGTCGGTATTCAATATAATCCTTAAACTTTGTATACAGTTCGTCTTGATAACCGTCACTAGGTAACGCCCCAACGGTATATTAATCAGAAGGCGAATACGAAGTGTTGATTACGTTTATTATGGAACCAAACACAGATATCCAAAATTACACGTGCGTTAAACAAGCATGAAAGAGTTGTGCCGAAAGGCAAGCAGGCAAGCGAGCGAGCGAGTGAGTGAGTCAGCGATTATGAGTACGAGTATACGAGTACAGTTAAGCGAGAGAGAGCAATGAACATGAATAACATGGGCATATACATACATAGTGAAATGAATGAATCATCGAATCAATTAAGCGGTTAGTAGTAAGGCTAGCAGCGTGAATAAATGCGTGGGCAGTAAGCAATGCTCAAGCACACATGTTCACACATTCTCACCAATAATAAAGATGCAATGATATAGATAAGTTGTTGTTGTACGGATGACTCAGTTCGTTAATAAGTAAACAAAATGACTTAACCGAATTAAATGTGAACAAACTCAATTGCACGTGGGTTGCTATAAAATCATCATATGCACAAATCCCTTAATTTTCATTTCTTAGTATTTTTTTTCTAAAATCTATTATAAAGGTCATGAATTGGCTTTACAATATAATGATGCATCCGTTCTGGAAAATCATCATCTTTATATGGCATTTAAAATTCTAACCGAAAAAGACTGTGATATATTTGCTAATTTAGGTGGAAAAAAACGTCAAACTTTACGTAGAATGGTTATAGAATTGGTACGTTTGATTTTTAACTATATGTATTCTGTGATATATTTATACAAAAGCCACTAAATAAAAAAAACTGCATAGTGAAACTGTCATTAGATGTGCGATTCGTTTGAAAGGTAACGTATCTATGAGTGTGTCTCTAGGTTTTCTATGGCTAATAAAGTGTAATGAACGAAATAAATCTCTTGCTACACGTAAAAGGTAATTGATCGTGTTCTTTAAGCTTAAAACGTACACATTGGAAAATTAAGTTTGTTGAAGTTTTTATTAATTGCAAATAAACAGGTGGTAAGCGGTAATGTTAAACTAAGAGCAATTGGAAGAAAACCCAAAACAAACTGATTGATTATATGGTTAACTCATACATAATCATATGAAAAAATTTGTTGCTTAGATCATCTTATGAAAACAAAACGTTGCTTTGATTCCTAAGGGTTTAAATTAAGTAGAATGATCAAAATGGATTGATAACATGAGCTATATGAGTTCGTCCTAGTTATCAATAAACAAGTAATCACTATCATTTATATGATGGACTTCTGTCGGTTAAAAATCAAATGGAAAACCTTGATTATAAGGCTATTCATCTTTACAAATTCTTCAATAGAGGATTGACTAATGCGTCACAGAACAACCAAGGATTTAAAATATTATCGCTTATCTCTTCTTACTTCATTTTATAAAGTACGTAACCCAATTGCAATACGATGTCATCTGATAATATTTGTTCTTTATGATGACTGGTTTTTTAATAATCAACTATTAATTACGCGCTTTGTGATATTTATGCTGTTATTTTACGTGGCTGTAAATTGTAGGGCCATAACAATAGATACTCAGACTAATGGTAATCAGTAATACCAGAAGATAGTTAAACGAAATTTGGAAATGCAAATTTAAGTATCGTGAACTAGTCTTCACCATTTTTCCCTATTTAGATATCTCCAAGTTGATTAGGATTAAAATAGGAAAATGACACTTGGTTTTAAAAGTTTCTAAACTATACACTGAGATTTATTTTAATTGACCTTAACTAATAGACTCCAAAATAAACATACAATAAGATGCATTGCTGATAACCTTTAACAATGATTACAACTTGAATGTGGCTTAATTGAAGTTTATAGGAGGTTTCAAAAGATTGCTGAACTTCGAAATTTTATGTCAGATACTGACCATGGTGTTCAGCTATGTCTGGCGTTAGATGAATATCACTAATGATAGTAACATACGTTTTCACAACATAGCGTATGGGCTGACGTTTGAAATGTAACCGACCCATAGATGTAAATGTCAAGTTAAAGTTTTTGGGTTTGATGCCCAATGAGGTCGTGGAGTCCTACTGCAAAGAGGTACAATAATAGGACGAAACAGACACTCGGTACTTCCTGATTTTAAATAACTGTTTAACTAAATTATATTAATAATGCAAAATTGCAGAATTGAGTTTCGCCGTTGGACTTTGTTCATAGTTATCAATTTGTTTAAATATTTTTTTATATAATCATTTTACGTATACAGGTGTTAGCAACAGATATGTCTAAGCATATGAGTTTATTAGCTGATTTAAGAACAATGGTTGAAACTAAAAAAGTTTCTGGATCCGGTATGTTGAATTTGGATAATTATGCTGATCGTATACAGGTATGTGATTGTTGGAGTTGAATAATTCGCATTTCATTCATCCAAATAAGATTGTGTAATGATTGAAAAGTTACAGCTTGGTATGAAATAAAACTTATCATTATTCATTTGATGTGAATATGAGACGAAAAATAAGACTTAGAGGTAGTAATAATAACTGATTAGTATGTATTAAAAACTAGAATTAAGGCAAAAGAGGCTAAGATCCAGATAAAATTGGAGATATGTATTTTAATAGTTGAATTCATGAGCCGATATAAACTAGACCACTACTGAAGATCTGAAAGCACTGGACGGTCGTTTCGTTCTAGTACGGGACTCAGAAGTGCATATCCATGTTCCTGTATGAGGGACTCGAACCCAAGACCTTGAATATCAAGCGCAAACGCTTAACCTCTAGATCACTGAGTCGACTCATTAATTCAATTATTAAAATTACTTTGATCTTCATAAACCACCATCCAGATATATACTTATCGAAGTTAAATTTGATTTAACTAGTGATCTAACTAATTTCCTCCTGGTTACAGACAATTTACTGCTAATTGATTAATCTTGGAAAATTGACAAACATTTTTGTAAGGCACGTTTAACATAATTTTGATAGTCCTAATACATTGGAGAGTGAGAAATTTTCAAAATGGAATATTTTTCAATTGTTTATGACATTCGTTTGTTAATATCTTGTCTATCAGTATGTTACTCTATTAGATGAATAGCCTTATTATTCAGGCTAATGATCTTATCTATAAACATAAATCATTCGGGAGACTTAAACCAATAATTCGGTCTCATAAGCAATCATCACTCGATCATATTGTATTACTGAGTTTCGCATTCCATCAATATCATATCCCTTAATTTATCAAATCAATAAAACTCCCCCATAATGAAGGTACAATCGATAATTTAACTTAACAATTATTTACAAAAGTGGGAACAAATTTGTTGAGATCAAAATTCAAGAGTCAATATCATTTTTCATATATGATTGCTACATTAGATAACATATGAACATAATAATTCATCAGTTTTAGTTGTTAACTGTTTCTAAGAATAAAAAACAAACTATTCCATAGTTATTTTCTTATGGAACAGTCAGAATATGTTGTGTTGTGTAAAACAATCGGAAATTATCTGACTGTTGAATAATGTTCAAAAGTACCACTTGATACATTTTTTTCAGTCATCCGAATGTACAGTGATGTTATGAGATCCGAAAATACTTAAGTTTACTACTAGCTGATGGGAGAAAAATAGGGTTATTTCGAAATTGTATAGATTAGCTATCTGCATGTCAATGTAACAAGTTGCAATGATTAATTTTCATAATCACAACCTTAAACAAAGCAGTAGTTTTGGATCATTTATCATCAAAGTCATCATCATCAGTCTCCCATAATAGTTAGATCTTCTAACGTTTTAGCTGAAAAATCTTCACAATTCTCTAATCCTGATAATTATGATATGTAATTTATTACATTCTTATTTAAAGATGTATTTACATATGGTTCAGTAGTATTATGTTAATTTTTACTAAAATTCTGTTGCATTTTAAAGCCGATATCCTCAGTTTAGATTGTTTATTATGTCTCATTCAACTGAAAGTATATCTTTCATGTAATTCTACCAACCTTATGTTATGTATTGTTTATTTTTTCCTAAATAATGTACAGATATTACAAAATATGATTCATTGTGCTGATCTTAGTAATCCAGCTAAACCACTACGATTATATCGTAAATGGACTGGACGTTTAATTGAGGAATTTTTCAGACAGGGGGATAAAGAAAGAAAGTTATCATTGGAAATTAGCCCAATGTGTGATCGTGAATCTGTAGAAGTTGAAAAATCTCAGGTCGGTTGTTAATTCTTGTGTGTACAAATTCTTTATGTTTTTAACCGTGTAAATGAGCAATAATAAATTTGTTTTATAAGGGCAATGACATTAATAGTTTGATAGTTAACTCACAGCGTAGTTTTTTCCTCTATAATCACGAATTTAGATCCAACTCCACTTAACTCTATCACGATAACTCGGTAATATCACTAGAGGTCATTCCCGTAGTACTTCTCATAGACCGATATATTTATTTATACTTCACAATTGGGTTCTAATCAATTTTTATGTAGAAATATTTTCCTTGTAACGAAAACCATATCAATGCTTGATACTCATAAACAATACTATAAGTTCTGAATATTCATGACAGATATTACTGAAAACTACATAAAGTGTTTTTTATTAACATTAACTTGTAAAGAAGAATATTATCTGATTTCAATGTTTGTTATTTTAAGAATATTTTGTGCTTCTCTCCTTGTCCAACGATATGACTGATCTCTCTTCACTAACGAATTATGATTGTGTAGTTTCTATGTTGGTTTTTTTAGTAAACTATTACATCACACTGAAAGCTTGATTGTTTTTCCGAAAATAATAACAGTATGTACAATAAATTGTCTTAGTTACATAGATAGTATCATTATTAGTGTTATTCGGAACACCATTATTGATTATTTCTCTATATATGTTTAGTAAATTATTATTACAACCCATAAAGTATTCCGACATGATTGATAGTGTAGGTGTAAATATTTAGTGCAATAGATAATGACAATTATGTTTCCCACTGACGAGTTACGTGCTCATGTACTTCTCTTTGAGCCGCAGTGTTTATACAAAGATTAATAATAAAACTACCTAGCTGCTCGAACAGATTATGTGAGAGAAGGGTTTGAACCCTGAATCTATTTGTTAAAAATGAGCCATTTCCTTACCGACTAGAATAACATAATCAAATGCGATGTCATTTTGTAGAGTGGCAATCATGGAGGTTTTTTTTCTAGTTCAAACGATCAACCAAGTGGACTACCAACTTCTTTTCAGGAGAGAAAAGTGTTAATTTATACACATAGTTCCCTTTATTATCTTATATAGAGCAAGGACAAAGATTGGTGCAGAATAATATGAATTCATTTTATTTCGTTAGGTTCTCATCAGCTGCTTACAACCTAAATTATTTGAAATTCAACATTATTACAGATATTGACATATTTATACATGAGTGTGATGAAGGATCAATACATGTGTATGATGGTGTAGCAAAGATTCAGATAGAGTTAATGAGCTCATAAAATGTTTGATTGTGTCTATACTGTTATCGTTAATAATTAGCTTTCTAGCAATGAAATTGAAGGAGAACTAGTGTCAAGAACAACCGATTTGCCTGATTGCAGTTCACAGAAGACTGACTAAGTGGAGAATATCAGAACTGCCCAGAACTATTTTAACAAGCACAACAGTATTATTTTCAAACGCCAAAATTCAAATAAATAATATTTCCAAATGTTACAAGTCAGGTGCCAGATACCTAAATTCTATAAAGTTTAATTTTAGCAGAGAAGCTTCGTAATACAATGATCCAGATCAACCACCAAGTAATTATGGCTACCCAAGATTGTCAGGACAAAAATTAACAAATTTACAATCATTTTGTCTTCAAACGGAGTTTATTAAGATACATGTCAATGATTTGGTTAGAGATCAAAAAGCTATCAGTTCCCTGATGATTGACAAATCTATATCCGTTGGTTCATATTTTCGACTTCGTATAGTTTTTGATATAGAACAGAGATCATCCAATTTGTGCCAAGTCTCTCACACCTGATGTAGTTTAATTTTGTTTTTAAAACGTCTTGAACATCACAAACTCATTTCTAAATTATTTACTAATTAACATATGATTATAGTTTGTTTTGAAAGTTATGAAAGTTTTGTCTAATTTTCGTCACAGATTGACAACTGTTGAGGTATTATTTATCAGCAATAAAACTTCATATTTACCTAGATAACCAATGTGCTTAAGTCAGTTAATCAGAACGATTATCTAATAACAATGTTTTACTGAATGAACAGAAAAAATGTAATAAAAGAAAACAGAAACATTTTTAACTTCTTAGTTATGAAGTACAAATGAGAAACAATAAGAAGTTTCAGTTAATATAAAGAGCCAATATTGAACATAACAATATCGAACTATTTTGTGTTAGTTTCTGTGTTTTATAGAATGAAACGTCAAACTCATAAAATAACACTATTTCTAAGACTTAATACAATGAAATAAAATGATGTTGTGGTGTGCGCTCCTTATGCGGACAGACATAAGTACTATATAGCAAGAATGGGGAGTGGAATGCTTACCAGCAGAAGATATTATGTACAGAGAAGAGGAAGGAAAACAGTTAGCGAACGGAATAACAAGAGGATTAGAAGAATGATGAAGTATGTAAAGGACAACTGAAAGATGTGTAGATGATATATATAATGTTTGATTTTCATAATTTACAAAGGCACTATGTAATTTTGCATTAAAACAGAAATTGGTTTGCCTCACCAAGTGTTTATTCTCTACAAAATGAATTACAAGACTACAGTTAATGTTTTTTTAAGCCTAAGATGTTTAAATGGAATATGCGGAATAGCCACTGCATTTGTAATTATTCAAAATAATTGAATTTCAATGTAAAAACTGATTAATGATATACATATTTTCAGTGAAAATGATTTAGTACAATCATTTCACATTTTTCAACGCTACTCGATTTATTGTATAATTTCAATCGAGATCATGAACCAATCAATGTTAAACCACCAATGAAAACGTGAAAGCACTAGATGGTCGTTTTGTCTTAGTATAGGACTCCTCAACAATGTGTATTCGTACTAGAACAAAACAGCCATTTAGAGCTTCCAGGTTTTCAATGGTGACTTAACATTGATCGGTTCATGATCTCAATTAAAACTCAACAATCTCCACAATCCCATAGTGATAATATAATATTTGTTGCATCCCAATCACCGAATAGACAATTGATAGATATTTGATTTGCAATCTATAAATAATTTCAAGTTCATTCTGAACTCTACACCGAACTATTATGAAACTCTTTGTTCAAGTTCAAATGAAAATCTTTACAAAGTTCCACTTTATGTGTTACCATAATTTCCTTCTTTAAAACCTTCTTTTTTACAATATCTATCCTATTTTTTCTATTTTTAGGTTAGTTTCATTGATTTTGTGTGTCACCCATTATGGGAAACATGGTGTGATCTAGTACACCCCTGTGCTCAGTTAATTTTAGATACATTAGAAGATAATCGTGACTGGTATGAATGTCATATAAAAGAATCCAAAATAAAAGTTACTCAGTTAGCTCGACCAAAATTAGCTACTGCCGCAGAAGATGATGAAGAAATTTCTACAACTTCAGGAAATACATAAGTTTTATTAGTCAATAATTATTGAGAAAAAGGTGAGCGGGAAGGGGGCAGATGAAATTAAATATAGGATTGCAAATAATATACAAAAATAATGTAAATATTCAGATAATATGTTCTTTAACAATCTATATTACACTAATATCCACCCAACCAAAATGAAATAAGTATAATTGTCAAATATATTTATTGATAATAAATATTTTTTACATTAGAAAAATAATAAACGATAATCAATCAAAATATCATTAACTTTCTAATGTAGGAACCATTCATATGATTATAATTGTTATTGATTTTGACGAACAGACGAATGAAAAACAAAGAAGTGTTTTATTGATTATTCAATTATGTCGTATAATATATTTTCATCTCTTTGATTTTCCTGATATTATCTAACTATTTATTCATGTATTCATTCATTCACTTATCTATTTTACCTTTATTTATGGATATATATATATAAGACAAGATACCTAAATGATTCAATAACGTTTAATACATTTATGAATTCAGTTACTTTTGTGAACTAAGAAACATAAATAATAAAAAAAATGAAAGATACTTTACATGTGCAAAAATCCTACCCACTGAAAAGAAAAATACAGCATCTGTTTTATTTTCTAATTTCAGCAAATGATTTCTCTCATTTTTGTACTTCTTAAACTAAACAATTTGTGTTTCTACAAATTTATACAGGAGACAGAAATAAATAAAATGTGCACTGAAATCTAGAAAGCATTTCATTTTAGAACAGATATGGTGGACATGTTCTTAACTGCCTAATCTATTTGCCCCGTCATTCCCTTCCATACTTACATTTCATTTATCAGTATGGTTATTTTATTCATTCATGTTTGTTTGTTTGTTTGTTAAAGATTTTCTGTTGCCTTTTTATGCTTCATTTTTTCTTAACAAAACACACATACATTAAACATTGAAATGATATTTTCTTTCTCTATCAAATAAAGTTTGAAATTAAAATTAATCAAATCCATAATCGGAAATGTCGAATAACTACATCTGAAAACTATTGATCCTAATAAATAATACTGAGAAGCTCGGTGATATGGAGCTTTTTATTATTTTATTTTGATCTTCACTAATTATCCCTATAAATTATCTATCGGCAATATGAAAATTAAAGACTGAAATGATCGCTTAAAAGGTATATTCATTAAATTATCTGATCAATTAAAGTTATTATATTTCCATCAAAGTTCTCATCAACGTTTTCTCCATCTTTCAACTGTCATAGCGCCTACTGCCTTGTGTATATTTGTTAATATATTCACGTGATCGTTTCTTTCAAAATGTTCAGAAAATTGTTTTTCACATACGCTGATAGTCACAGCCTAATGTATGATGGATTATATAATCGTGTCTCTTTTACAGTCATGTTTTTTAAAGTATATATAAATGTGTATGTATGTATATGATGTAATCTATCTACCAATCATCTTATAGATGACTTGCATATCGATCCTCTTTAACGGCTAATTTAAAATACCGATCGATAATTATGTGAAAACGTAAATTGTATGTAGTTATCTTGCTAAATGAACCGACAGAATATTCTGTACTTTAAACATAAATAATTATCAAGATAATCTGTATGGATTCTAGACAACTGATCGCTTTTTTCCGATTCTCTGACCAAAAAAGAGAGAAAAAACATTATGATGCTTGAAAAATTTCTTTTTTTATCCTTCATGATAAAATACTGCTTTGTATTTCATTTTTAAAATAACCGAAATGTGTTTCCCTCCCTCCCTCTCTTTGCATGAATGTGCCTGTTTCTTATAATCAGAAATATTATTATTGTCATTCATTCTGTTTTAATAAGATTTGATTGTTGGATCGATATTTTCATTGGTAATCCATACATTGTGAAAATGCAAGCAAATAAAAATGGAGGGAAACAAATATTATTGATGATGACAACCATTCATTTGTATTTGCATGCAATAAAAGAATACTCATCAATATAATTCATCGTTTATTGTATGATGTTCATCCGTTCCTCTTCAAGGCAATAAACTTTATAAATTAAGTTAAAAATTAATAAATTGTTATATACAAATAAAGCAATTCAGTAGTACAGTCATTATAATGGTAGGTTAATATAAATATTATGGGATGTTTCATAAGATATGACTTATCAGGTTTAAAACAAGGATAAAACAGAGGTTTAGAGCATTATTAATTCACAATCAACATCGGTCGATGACGAAAATCTCTTTTCCTACTGAATTAATCTTCATAATCTAGATAAATCATTGTAGTCAATAGCGATTAGCTTTGGAAAGTGATAGCCAAAATCTTAGTGATTTTAGACAAATCGTGGGGTGAAATAGTCATCTCTTATAACTTTGAAAAACAGTCTATGTTATGTTATGAATTACCTAATATGAAGAATATAAATCAATAAGTCCCAAGCATGTAGTTCAAAAGTAAATCACTGTCGAGGAAACTTGAAATCTTAGGTACAGTCTATGGTGGTATTATTATTATTTATCACTAAGTTTTGAAGCAGAACGGAGTGGCTGTATAGTGCTTCTTGGTTTCCAATTATTCTCTTATGAATATTAGTTTGAATAGAGTTCATCTTGATATCAAATATATTTGTACAATAAACACAACTACATGTTAAATAACTAAATATCTTGTAAAGCTAGTCAACACAAAGAAACCAGAACTTTTATTTACGTAATGTCCGTAAATAATGAATTTACGCAAGTTCGTTCCATAGTTCGAATAAACATAGAATATAGATATTCGGGCTCCGTAATAAATAAAAGATTTATTCAATGAAAGAGTCGAAATTCTGTAATTTTCATTTGATGTATAATTAATTTTGTGTTCCTTATCCAAATTTTATTGGAGTTTTATTTATTTACTACATACATGTTTACTATGAATTTAGGTTGATTTTGTGGAAATTCTCTACAATTTAGAGGTACCTAAAGATTTATCTAGTGCAATAATGAACAAGTGTGTGCAGCTCTTAAGTATACTTAATTCTTTGTTGATCATAAAGAATAATATGCTTTGAGTTGGTGATGAGCGTGTCTGACAAACAAGTTACAATAAATATTATGTGGTGGTTTTTTTTCAAAAAGGAAAAATGTAATAAGTGGTATCTAAACGAAATACCTTGTTACTCTATGATAGGCTTATAAATGGAATTTAGCATTAGATTTATATTTTAAACAGAATCATACATTTTTGAACAGAATGAACTGAATCACAATATCACCCAATACGATTAGTGATGAGGTAATAACAATCTCAATCTCTTGTATTGGACGCTTGCCCTTCTTATGACACCAAGATAGACCTTAAGACCCGCGGGGTCACGGTTCCCCACGAAAGCGCATCCCCGCGATGGGTTTGTGAGCCTTGAAAACACGAAATTCATTCCAAAAAGGCCCACATAAGCCTCCTTAGAAAAGTCTTTACCAACTAATCTGATTAAAACAACACCACCACCACACCACGCCAGTGATTGGTATCAATTTCACAATATCGTTATTTAACTTGAGTTGGACCAGCAACCCTCAAATCATCAACCTCAAGGTTAAGGGTTTGCTGCAGGACATAATGGTCGTAAACTCAGTCATTGGAGGCGCCATGACTATTTGCTGTTAAGAAATGGCACAAATGGAGGAGATCATTTTCTATCATCCTCGGCTGATGTTCAAGAGACTTAAATAACAATAATTCTTGATGAATGCGACTTTCGAATGTAAATAATTAAGACTAACTCCTCCACAAATACATTTATTTATTCAGTTTATAAATTGCTACTATTGATCCAAACCCATTTCAACATTCTTACTCTTTTTGACAGAAAATGTCTTCTCAATGTTGTTGTTGAACTGATGTCTTAATGTTTTCAGTATAAATGATCGTACGGGTTTAATAGTTAAATTCATGAAACAATTGATGCTAGACCACCATGGAAAACCTGGAAGCACTAGACGGCTTTTTCGTCCTACTATGGGACTTCTCAGCAGTGCGCATCCACGATCCTGCCTCGCTAGATTCAAATCCAGGACCTATAAGTCTCGCGCTTAACCACTACGCTACCCAGTCAGCACAATCAGGTAGTGATCGACATTGATGTGACACACTATTTCACCCGTTTTGTAAGAGAACATGAAAACGTTTATCGGATAAAACGAAATATTATTACCAATAAGGATACATATATAGATATTCACTTGATATTCTAAATATTTTTTCCTTAAAATTCATAACTGAAAGGTAATTTAAAGCTATTTCTATTGATCTCTCTTTTTAATAAGCTTTCTAGTTACTCACTTAAAACTTGACTTCTATACATCGGATTTATGAGATATTAGTTAGAATATTCCAACGACTTTGTTTGATTGTTCATTTCCGGCTTTTAATATCACACAATGAAAAAGCTTTAATTATGTTTATGGAAAAATATTTTTGGACTAATTCAGTATATATATACTAATCACTGAGTAGTGACTAATGTCATAGTTTTCTAGTCTTTTTAAGTCCTACTAAAATTCAAATGATAACGTTGATATGCGGTTACTAATCTAAGTGAATTAATATTTTATGAGCTGTGTTGAAATGTAAGATGACTGAAGGTGGTCTATAGGAATTCCTGAACACATTCTAGTTGGGATGTATTTATTATCTTGAGAGAACTGGTTCTCCCTAGGAACTTCAAACCCGCAAAATTCAGTTTCACAGTGATAATCTACCACTGTATGTTTCTATAATCCACTGACTCCCCATAAAACTGAGATATCTACCATTGATTAGTCACTGAATAGTAATCAATGTCATATCTCTAAGTGTTTGTCGAATTCTGTTGATTCAGTTGAAGTACATACATATTGGATAGATTAGTTTAATATAATCAGACCAATCTTTATGGATAATTTTAAATTAAATTTTATATCTGAAAGACTACAGCTAATAATTTCTAGTTTAGATGGTGGTTGGAGGTAGTCGACAGGA